GTTGCAATAGAGACCTGGAAAAGTGAAAGAAGAAACTCCAAATGCTCCAGGTTATCAGGCGATGGATGATAAGATGGTGAGCGTCTTCCTCTGCCTTTGGACACATAGCGTACCTGTTGGGGTCACAGTAAAGTTTTGTAAAATTGGAAGAAAAAAAAAATCCAAATGCTCCAGGCTATCGAACAATGGACGAGAAGATGGTGAACCTCTTCCTCTGCCTTCTAAATTCAAATACAAAGTGAACTTGTTAGGGAGCTGGAAACCCATTCTTCTAATACGATCTATAGTGAAAATCTTATCCAGACAAGGCAAGTGCTTGTATCATGGGAGGGGATTGTAACTTCCAGATCCTATGATATCTCAACATTCTCACCAACTTTGCATCCTCTTTCAAGAGAAGATAATTGTAGAATTCCCTTGCTGTTAAAATCCCTTCCAAATTGCCCTTTCATAACTGGTCAATCTCTCTGTCTGGATAGGTATGAACCCTGTTAAGCTTCTCCAGTAGCCACGAACATTTCTCAATCTCTTGGTCCCTAATATTCCTGCGGAAGGTCAAGTACACCATATTATCTCTTCGTTCCTCCTTTCAACTATGAAACATACCTAAACTTCCTTTTGGGGACTCACCTATATAGGCTTGGACAAATCCATAAAAACTTAAAACCCACAAGTGGCTATTCAAAATTTTCTTCAAAGTAAAAATGAAGTATACAATACTCTAGCTCAAGGTACATAAGAATCTGAATAGCCCATGGTAGTCAAGGCATCGGCTCGATGTTACCTAGGTGAGAAACACCCCTAGCTGCCGACTTAGGATCTAGGCGGTCACTTGGCAACACCTAGGTGCCAAGGCGCTAGACATCTGCCCAATACTATATAATACTTTTTTTGTAAACGCCCAAAGCTAACAATTTAGGATTCATGTCATAGAATTTAGCAATGTTTTTTTTTTCTTTTCTATACTAGCTACTAACCTGACGTGCAACCCTCCTCCTTTTTATTGGCTTACAAAGGTATTTAATAATATTCCAAAGAATTGAAAAATGTTGGTAGCATGAAGGAGAAGTATTGTGCCTATATACAAGAATAAAGGATATGTCCAAAGTTGTACTAACTATCGCGGGATAAAACTTATGAGTTATACTATGAAGTTATGGGAGAGAGTGATAGAACAAAAATTAAGAAAATTAACTAGGGCTTCCAAAAATCAGTTTGGTTTCATGCTAGGAAAGTCTACGATTAAGGCTATCTTCTTACTTAAGCAATTAACGGAAGAGTTCAAGACAAAGAAAGATCTCTATATGGTATTTATTGACTTAAAAAAAGTATACAATAGAGTCTCGACATAATTAATTTAGTGGTTATTAGAAAGGAAATGAGCTCCATAAAAATATTTTAATATCATTAAGGACATATATGAAAAAAGATGACTACCGTAAGAACAATTCGTGGCAAGATAAACGAGTTCTCACGACAATAGGGTTACACCATGGATTAGTTATGAGCAAATACCTTTTTACATTGGTTACAAATGAATTGAGGGCTCATATTCAAGAGGTCCTTTGGTGCATGTTATTTTCAAATGATAATATATGACATTAAATAAAGGGTAAATAGAAAACTAGAATTGTAGATAGATACTTTGGAATCTAAGGGTTTCAAAATAAGTCGAACCAAGACAAAATATAGATAATGCAAATGTAATAAGAACACAAATAGAGTGGAGACAATTGTTAGATAGATGACTAAGAAAAGACCCAAAGCGACCAATTCTGGTTCTTGGCTCAATTATTCATAATGATGGAAAAATTAAAGATGATGTTCCCCAACAAATTAGAGCTAGATGGCTGAAGTGCAGAAGTTCTTCTGGAGTGCTATATCACCGGCGCATTTCGATCAAACTAAAAGAAAATTTTTATAAGACAACAATAAGACCAACTCTGCTTTATGGAGCAGAATGTCAGTCTACAAACAGAAGCTTATATATTAATATAATTAAAGTAACCAAGATGAAAATTTAAGATCATGGACCGTTGACTTGTGGGTGCGATTTAACTCTCCTCGAATTCAATCACAATTGGTTGTGATTCAATCTCTAAATTGCTCTCACACATACACGGTTGCTATTGTTTTCCTATGGTAAAACACACAAAAAAAAAACTCCCATATAAGTTATTATAGATTACAAAATTCCTGTATATGCTAGGCTTGCTAGCTTTTTCTCTTTTCAATATCATTGATTTAGTCTAATTACAGAATTCCTGTATATGCTAGGCTTGCTAGCTTCTTTCTCTTTTTTGTATCATTGATTTAGTCTAATTACAAAATTACAAAAAAAAATATTATATTGGCTTCCTTCTCTATATCACTTTATATGCGCAAATAGAAGATGATACAAAATTGGAGTTCATATTGGGAGAGGGGGAAATGTTCGCAACAAATTGTTCATCAGGCGACGCCTCAAGCTATCGACTAAGGTGCTCTAGGGGTCTACCGCCTCAGGTCGCCTTGACAACAATAATCATGGTCGTTAAAGACGTTGCCTAGGCGACAAAGCGCTCCCTTGGATCCAAGCAACCAACCGCCCAAGCGGCTTTTATTAAAAAAGTAATATTTTAATTTCATTATTGTTTAAGGGCATAAAATTTACTTTTATATGAAGAGGGTAATTTGATAACAAAAAACATGTTATTTTATACGACTCTCGTGTCTTTTACTATATAATATGTTAGGGTTTGTAAATCCAACAAAAAAATGATTTGCAGATAGAAGCTCAACCCTAATGTCCACACCGTTAGTTTTAGGTTGGTGGATTAAACCCATGGTCCCATAATTGTAATCCTCATGTCTTCTCCATTCAATAATGAAGCTCAACCCCCCATTTTATATTGAGTAAACTAGATTTGTTAGGGTTCATACGGCGACGCCTCATGCGCTTAGTTTCCTTGACAACACTAGCTATTATGGATGAGTAGGAAACCAAGGAAAGATAAGATAAGAAATGAGAAAATTCGAGCGAATTGAGAAGTAAATCCAATAGGTACAAAAACAGGAGTCAGTTAAGATGGTTTGGACACGTTCAACGAAGACCACTAAGGACCCAATAAGAAGAAGTGAATTAGTGCAAGTTGAAGGCTCTAAACGGGGAAGAAGAAAGCGAAAAATGACATGGATGGAGTTAGTAAGAAAATATTTGATGACACATGATTTAACTAAAATTATGATTTTCAATAGAATAGAATGACTAAACAGGATTCGTGTTACTAACCCCAAATATTTGGGATAAGGCATTGATGATAATGAACCACCCAAATCCATATTGAAAACAAATAATTTATTGACGTGCTAAACACAATTCGACTTTTCAGTTTCTTAGGTAAACTCTAAAAGCTTATTTGTTTTTCTATTCTAAGCTTACTTGTAGTTTTGTTATAAGTTAATTATTCAAAAACATGATCAGAAAAAAAAAAAAAAGGAATCTTTTGAAACATCAAAGCAAGGGGTCCATTATGTCATTTAATTTGTATGAATTGAATAACCAAATCCTCTTTTGTTCGGATCTAAAAGGGTTCAGTTGGATGAAACTAGGAGAGGGGGTAGTTTGACTCTCGCACGGGTGATGTCCAAAACAACATCGGGTGAATAGTAACATCAGCATACTAATTAGAGGATGAAGTAGTAGCTAATCACTAATCAAATAATAAGGATGAGGAAATAACGAGAAATAATCATAATGTAAACCAGAGTCACCGGTTAGCGGGAGTTCCAATTTCCACAAGAGGAAGGTACGATCCATCGAATTGATTAATGAGAGGGCAAAAGAGTACAATGCGGTGGAAGTAAGAAAGGTAATTACTGAAATGATGGTGGATGGTAATGTCCAAAGCGTCGGCATCAGTGAGCCTGCACGAGATATGCTCTATGACTCTTAACCAATAGAAAAAAGTTGTAGGTAACCGTCTGTGAGTTACCAGGATTCAAATTCAAAGGACCGCTCGGGGAGCCTTCACTCGTCAACCTAAAAACAAAGGAGTTTCCTCACTACTAAAGATACGGAACGGATGAACTGCTATGAGTTCAGAGCAAGCTGCCTGTTACCCGGGAACGGTTAAATTCCCTCAAAGGCGGAGAGCTAGTAGTCTCAACCATAGTTCGAAAACTCGAATGAGACTATTTGCCAAGTTACTTTGGTGACTCGGTCGAGCCGAGTTTTTTGATTTGCCCAATTAGGTCGAGTCACAGAAGGGTGTTTTTTTAATTTTTTTTTAACCTACACTAGAATGTCACACTATTTTTGCATCATATTTTTTCTAGGTCTACAAAGACAACCTACTGTGAGTTCTATTAAACCTAATTTTTAGGTTTGAGGCTGTAAAACCAGCATACTTTGAGTTCTTTTAACCCAGGTTTTTCAAGTTATTACATATGTATTCCGAGTTGGAACAATTTTTTTTCGAGTTTTCCGAGTTACTCGACCCGGCTAACTTTCAAGTCGAGTCAAGTTTTCGGGTTTTTGAACCATGGTCTCAACCAATGCCTATGAGCTATGACAATAATTTGTTGGCGATGGAACCATAGCCCCACTAAACGGAATGGCTATGGCTCTGGAATGTCTTCTTCTCAAATAGGGTAAAGGCATAGCCCTCACGCTAACATACAAAATAGGGCGCTTTTTTCTAGATTTACACCTTTTCTTGCTCTTCTTTCTTTTCTGTACACTAGGGTCATTCGGGCAGGTTTAATTCAGGCAGTTCATCAAAAAGAATCCTTGTTGAGTTGCTAGCGGCTTATTTGCTAATTCTTCTTGTTGTTTTGTCAATCGGACAAAGTTTTGACAGCTAGCCCGTGCGGCACCTGCGCGCCCTCCTGCAACACAACGAGTAGCATTGACAAGAGATGAGCTAAAGAGGTGGCCGGATTTGAATTAAGAAATAGGATTTTAGAGACAAGGAACTTGAGGTACAAAAATTTACAATATTATCTATTGTGATAAGAAAGCGCTCTTAGTTCAGTTCGGTAGAACGTGGATCTCCAAAACCCGATATTGTAGGTTCAAATCCTATAAAGCGTGATTCCGTTCTTGTACTCTTTTTGTTAGGTATCGGTTGCCAAGCAGCAGAGGAAGGAGAAGAAAGAGAAAACAATGGTCCAGCCATCCAGGTCTCTCTCTCTCTCTCTCTCTCTCGTTTGCTCCCACTCTCCTCTCTATGCGATTTTTTTTCCATAGAGGAGGTTCTCTCTCCCTCTCTCATCTTGTCTTTTTTTCTTCTTTGGGGATAAGTTGTCCCTCTCATCTCTTATGTCTTCAGCAATTACAGCCTCTCTCTCTATTGTTTTTAATATAACAGACTCCTTTCACTTGGGACGTTGCTCTGCAATTCTTTTCCTGCTCACATGTGAAGGAAATTTCCACATTAGAGAATTAAAGAAACACATAAAGAATATATGAATTTAAATAAACAGACTAATTTTTGTCACCTAGGCGTTGCCTTGCCTAACTAGACCTCATTGCATAGGCATTGCCTAGATACCTTGACTACACTGGAGTACCCCTTGCATATGGCATCTTGGTACTTTACCATGGAATTTTAGGGGAAAGATAAGGGAAACAGAACCTACACTCCCATCATAAGATAATTTAGTCATTTTATTCCACAATAATGCCATATATCACTTTTGATCAACATCATGTAGTTGATCAACATCATGTAGCAAAGCATGTGGTAGTTCCAAAAGCTTTTAAAAGAATCATGAAGTTTATGATATTCAAGTTAAATATATACAATAATCTGAAATATTCTTCGACATGGCACTGTTACTTTATCCTGTAGTTTTAACTTTTAAGGGAAAGAAGCGAAGAAAACAGAACCAACAATTCTATCATGAGGGAATTTTAGGCATAAAAATGCCACAATAGGGGCCAAATATCATTTTTATTCAAGTAAGAGCCTAGGAGGCAGGACATATAATTCCAATACCTTAAACTCCAATCCAATTGCAGTGCACTTTACTAATTTGATAGTAATTTGGTTTCCCTTCTTATAGATAAGAAAAAAGTTAATAACTTAATACGTTTTAAAATGTCAAACATTAGATAAGTATCCTCTTTGAAACATCTAATAATTATATATGCTTCTATCATAAAAAATAACAGAAACTCCAATGTTTTGAAGCAGTTACGTTAATTTCCTCAGTCCTCACTAGCTATTCAGTTAAGTGTAACTCTACAGATACTCCCAAAGTGTACTCCCAAATATACTCTCAAATCCTAACCTTTTAATTCAATTATCAAAGGGTCAAGATTAGAGCTGATGTGGCATTAGAAAAGACAATATAAGTCAAGTCAAATCCTGACCCTTAGTAGCCATAGATGCTTAGGATTGGAGTGTATAGTTGGGAGTACCCCTAGACTGACTCTTCAGTTAATACTCTTAATTGAATCTGTTAAATGTTAATAACCATGCTCAATAGTGACAGTGAGCATGAACTAAAGATCACTGTTTTGTCCCTGCTTTCCAAGTGTAAGTGAATCAGAAATTTAGAACCATTGCTGCAGGAAACAATAGGAGCACAAACCTGAGTCATTTTACAAAATATGAGCATTAAGTTCCAGCAAACTTAGGACGAGAACTAGAAATATTTTACTGCAGGTGTTTCGTGCAAAGTATCTACTTTAATTATTAATATGTCCAAGTAACACATACAGAAAGAAAAGAGATAAGGATTTCATGTAATGGACAGATTATAAAGCATGAAAGAGAAGGGCAAAAATACAAAAGTAAGAAAGATAAAGCATGAAATGAAATTTAGCAAAAAAAAGTTAAGAAGTACGAATGAACAGGGCATTTAATCTAGACACGTACACTTAGGACTACAAGATGGAGGGCCAAACAGCATCAATTCTGGTGATTCTCTCATTCTAGAAGAATTAATTCTCGTAAGTTTTGATTCTTATAATCAATTATGTGCGGAGAACGCGCTTGGCAGCGGTTAATCAGAATCAATTATGAAGAAAAGAAACAACAAAATTACATTTAAATTTTTTTTTTTTTTTTTTAAAGATTATTATGGTTATTATGTTCATTAACACATTTATAAGTGGCATAAAATACTCAAAACTTTTATTATGTCCCATCTATCTCATCCGTTTTGACGCTTATCTCGTTTGTTTTAAGCGTGTTTCCCATATTTAATTCTGAGAAGCGCTTTTTTTGTTTCGCTAAAATTGTGTGCGTTGTTTATGTTCCCAGGAAAAGGAAAATTATTCCTAAGGAACGATGCGAAACGGCCCTTAAGCTTCACAATGTAAATCTGAATAGAAGAAAACAGCTAAACAATTAATGAAAAATCATATCATACTAAGCCAAAACTAAAGATACCTAGTGAAAGGCTATTAAGCATACTTGCAATTTAAGACTTCTCCAGAGCTGGAATAGCCCAGATTGCTTAATATTACTATACAATCTCCATCAAGTCTCTCGCGTATGCGTGAAACATCTACTTTCTTCACTTCACCAGTTGCTCCATAATCAATGCCTTCGACAACTCCTCTTCTCTGTAAAAAAATAAAATGTAAAATGAGATATGTGGAAGTGATAAAATGGACATAATAACAGATAGAACACTCATCCTGACAAAAGATTTCAAAAGGCTAGTGATATTGTTAAAAAGACGAAAAATAATGGGATTCAAGACTGTAACTGAACTCAAACAATAAATGATAAATTTGAGACAGCAGCTTGCCCACCTTAGCTGCAAGAAAATTACCACTTGCAACACTGACACCAACATCATGCCACCGACTATTGTCGCCATGTCGTCGAATATTGCATATAGGGGGTCCAGGAGAAAGCTTTGCTTCTATCATTAAACGGATTCTCCCAGCTGCTTCCATCGCTGTCTCTAGTGAATCCGAATCTGTGATTCTGTATTGACCAACATACTTGGCCTCACTTCCTGCAAGAAGAATGTGCAGGATTAAGTGCACACCTGAGTATTTCATGTAAATGAAAACTATTATGCCTACCTAAAGAAATCAGCATTAAGAGGAAAACGGGAAATGAAGAAGTTGAGATCCAAAAATTACAGAATCCAGTGACCATACCAGTTAGCATATCATGTGACAAAGCACCAATCATTTACAGATTTCATAGTTAAGTTTCATATCAACAGAGATTCTAAATAGAATAGACAACACATCAGAGAGTACATCCAAATTATGTCTCTTAACAATTTAGCTGACTGCTCCTCGACATTCACAATCTTTGAAAAAAATCAGTATACGAAAAAGAAATGGATTCAAAAATTACTCGATAGACTTTTGTTAAGTTTTAGTGTTATCCGAAAAAAACTCTGCTTGTTGGGATGATAGAATATTGGTGTTTCTTTCACACTTCTATAAACTGACTATACCTGTAACATACCTAAGTAACATGACCCAAAATCTGAATACACTGGGTAGACGAATCCATTAATAAAAAATTAATACTATTCTAATTGTATGATCAGTTTCACTATCAAAGAAAACCATCGCCTCCAATATGACGTTAAGACAGTATACAATCTAAGACAAATAACGAAGGGCAAAGCACCCAGGTTTGACTCACCTCTCTCAGCCAAAAGCTTGTCTATTTGTACATGTATCCCAGGAACAAGAACAAATCTGATCCCCAGACCGTGAAGGAGAGAGATATCCTGCATACAGATGTCTTCAGGTCGGTAATTGTACCCAATAATTGAAGCGCACAGCGAGATATTCAAATAAAAACTACTGAGCGATTGTCCTGGATGCTCAAGAACAAATTGTACTGGACCTAAAGTCCTATAACCAAATACAAGAATCTCATACTAAGAACCAAATAAAACAGAGGAAGAACATACTCAAAACCCTACCTTTAAAATGACATCCAAGTAAGAACTAGCTACAATTTCTCCGGAAATGATCACAACGAACGTGCTACCTCTGTGCGCACGAAAATACGGCCAAGCTTCCCGAAACCAGCGCACAAATTGCTCATCCTTAACAGAACTACGTTCGTCGCTGCCTAGACCATTCTCCGTTTCGCCAACGAATTTACAATCCACAGAAAATCTCTTGTTTCTCTTAACTCCCTTATTAGGATCTTTTAACGCATGATGAAATATGCGAATCCTCGCTCTAGAACCATGGCAGAACCTGGAAATCCTATTCTGAAACGATTTCTTCCCGTACGAAGCTTCTGCGTGGTTTTGCAGAGAAATCCAAGGCCTTGAACACGAAGCAGCCATTGATGAACAGATCGAAACCCTAACAAGGAAGAGGCAGCTGGAGAAGAGGAGTAACAAAAGACGCGGGGAAACGAAGGAGGGAGGGGTAGAAACTAGAAAGAAAAGGAAATGTGGCAACGAACGATGGATTGGACGTGTTTTTATTTAAGAGCAATAGTCACCTCCTCGTGCCGAGGAGGGGACTATTCCTCCACGCTCTCACAAACCCTTTGAACTATGGTTAAAAATTTAATCAACTCCTGTGGTTAATATTTTTTTTAATATTTTTTCTAAAAGTCTAAGGGTAGATGTATGAATCCTAAGGGTGACTGAATCTTAATCACAGTTAAAGAAAATAAAAAGGAGACACGTAGCCCTAAAAAGGGGGGACGAGACGGTAACTCACCTCCTCGGCTCGAGGAGGTGACTATTTTCCTTTATTTAATTCCATATAAAAGTTCAGGGCACGCCACCATGATTTTAATGCCAATTTGAAAAGAAAGGAAAGGTCGAGAACGCCCGCCATGGCTGAAAAGATCAGAAGGAAGTGTGCTTCTTCCTTTTGATAATTTGATTTGATGCTTCGACGAAATGATTTCCTCTTCGCGGGACCCGTTTCTCCAAATGCTATGTGTCGTCGGGAAAATTGATGAAAACAAGGAAAAGAAAAAAAAAAAAATTGAAATTTTTAATATAATTTTAATTATATTTTATCTATTTTTTTTTTTTTTCATGTTTTTACTTATTTTCTCGACAAACAAACATAGGGAAAGGAAAATTGTCACCTCCTCATCGGGGACTATTGTCACTCCCTTTGACCTATGG